CTCATATTAAAAAGCCACCACTTGCCGGTGGAGGGCTGCAAATTTAAAACTGTACTCAGTACTTATGGCTTTTGAGCAGTGAGGGATCTTTTTCATGTCAGCACTTACTGCGACACAGGACCTCAGTTTATAAGGTCTCCTCCAAAGACCGGTCTCCACGTTCTGCTATGGGATTTGAATCCACAATGTAAGGATCATCTTACTCCTCGACTCGTCGCCCGCATGGCGCAGTGGTTAGAGCGTCTAGAGTCGCGGAGTAAGGAGTTGATCCTTACGTCACGGGTTCAAATCCCACTGTGGGATGTGGAGACCAGTCCTTTGGATGAGACCGTATAAACCGAGGTCCCGTGTCGCAGTAGGTGCTGGCAGGAAAAAGATCCCTCACTGCTCAATGGCCGTAAGTGCCGAGTATAGGACAAAATTTGCAGCTCTCCACCGGCAAGTGGTGGGGTCTCCATATGAGTGAAAAATTCTCAAGAGGGACATTAAACAACATAAAAACAAACAAACAAACTCCTCGACTCTAAAGCAAATGCTCTAACCATTGCACCATGCAGGTGACTTTGATCTCCATGCCTCAGTGGAAATGACTTGATAGCCTCTTATAGGAGTAATTGTCACTGACTATATGCACTACCTATGTAGTCACATAAACCAAATACTGCTGCTCTTTGAGACATAGTTTATAAGTCTTATATAATGCACTTAAAATAAGTCAAGATTCCTAAGAATTTCAAACATCCCATTCATTCAAAGAGTTAAAAATAATCAATACCTCAGGAAGTTTCGACAATTCTTAGATTTGAAAAATATTTGCTCAAATTGAATTAGATTTCATATTTTATTCTGTTTATGTCAAACATGATGTTCTATTTATTAACAATTGATTTCTCTCCTTGGTAAAATGATTTTTTACTGTTTATTTAACGTCCCTTCAAGAATTTTTTACTCATGTTAAGAAGCCACCACTTCCCTGTGGAGGGCTGCAAAATTAGACCTGAACTCAGCACTTATGGCCATTTATATTAGCAGTAAGGGATATTTTGTGCAAACACCTACTGCAACAAAGAACCTGCTTTATACGGTTTTATCCAAAGGACCGGTTTTCAGGTCCCACAATGGTATTAAAACCCTTGAAGTAAGGATCAACTCCTTACTTTGCAACTCTGGAGCAAAAGCTCTATACTTTATGCCACGTGGCGACTGGTAAATTGATAAACATGCACTAAATATGTTGACTCTACCACAGGCCTCTATGTGACCTCTAAAATATAGGCACCAACTGGCTCCTTATGAAAAAAAAAATTTAGTCACCGATGCAAATTTTTTGCCGCCAGGTAAATTTTTCTTAGGCACCAATCTAAAAACTGATATTAGTCAATATTAGAGACATGTCCATTGCTTCTTTTCGGCTCTTTCTAAAAAAAAAAAAAATTGAAAATGTTTATAGTTCAGTAATTTGATGATCACCAAGCCAATTTAAAATGGTCACCAATTTGGCAAATTCTAGAAAAATTTTAGGCAACAATCATAATTTTTAGGTGCTATGGCGACTAAATAAGTCACCAATTAGACCTATACCATACATCGTATACCCTGTAATTGTTTTCACTATCTGCACATTTCTGATTTTTTTGCCTTTACAAATCAACTTGGTTATAAAGATACATGACTGTATAATTTTTGTAAAAAGCTGGATTTTTAAGTTAAATTTCTTTTGGTTTAAAGCTAAGAAAACTTAGATATTATAGCTAAAGGACTGGTTATTAAGGGACAAGCTTAAGTAATTCTGACACATTTATTCTATCCCCTTTAAAATTACCATGGGGCTATAGATACAGGTTGGTCATGTGATCAAATCCCATGGAATCCAAAGGGCTTTATGGTAGGTAACAACATATGACTATAGTCCCATAGATGATAAAATATTATACTTTTCATGTTACATTTTGCCCATATATGAAGCATTAGAGTATTATAAATTGTGTATAAAACATTAATGTTTTTACTTTGAATTTCAAATGTCAAGCGTCACCTGTGTGGCACAGTGGTAAGCGCATTTGCTCTAGAGTCGCGGAGTAAGGAGTTGATCCTTACGTCGTGGGTTCGAATCCCACTGTAGGACATGGAGACCGGTCCTTCGGATGAGACCATATATATCGAGGTCCAGTGTCGCAGTAGGTGCTGGCATGAAAAAGATCCCTCACTGCTCAATGGCCCTGAGTACCGAGTAAAAGTCAAAATTTGCAGCTCTCCACCGGCAAGTGGTCGCATTTCCATATGAGTGAAAAATTCTCGAGATGGACGTTAAACAACAACAACAAAGTAAACTGGAAGTCCGAACCACTTATTTTTTAAGAAATTAACACTCGATATCTTGAATACTCCTATATCTCTAAGTTTTTTCAGTTCCATCTATTTTAAAATAATGAGGTTTGACTGTGCATGTTTCTTATTTAGCATTTGATGAATTTCATATGAATCACCAACAAGTTTTCACATTTTGATGCAAACTTTTATAGTTCTAAACAACCGCCCACTCATTAATCAATTACTACATATAATTTAAATAAAATAAATTAACAATTAGTTAAAAGTTCATAATTATATACATTTTACCAACTCTTTTTATGTATTCAACTACAAGATATTATATACATAATTTAAATAAATTTAAATTGATCAGAAATGTCAAAATGGAAAGTTTGAGAAACCTGGCTTCATTTACTGGACAGTACTGAAATTGCAGAAAAGAAGTTCATTCATTTATCAATTGCTACAGTAGCATTTATTATCTTGATACATCAGCTTTGTATATTTATTAGTATGATTGCAAATAGATGAACAGGCAGGCACGTATGCTAAAGTGTTCCTTCACTTTGATTTTTTAATTATTTTAATACATACTACCTATTTTTGAAACATATTTTCTGATCTGTTGGTAGAACGAATCATAAAATTATTTTACCAAACTTTTTCATTATTTCATAAATATCTCTAAAGCTTTTGAATATGTTCCATGTATACTGCCCTACTCATCTGCAAAAATGGGTACAAAACTGGTTGTTACAAAGAAACTTGGAAGTACTTGCACATGGACTACTTGGGAGCTACTTCATAGTTAGATTACTTTTTCTGTTTAACACGACAAAATGCTATAATGGTTACAACCAAAAAGATTTACTTGAAATGCTTCACTTATATAGTTACTGTACCCATTTTTGCAGATGAGTAGGGCAGTATACATGGAACACATTCAAAAGCTTTAGAGATATTTATGAAATAATGAAAAAGTTTGGTAAAATAATTATAATTTCATTGCCTCAATTGATATAATTCATGTTTCTTTGGATTGAAAAATCTTTATATAACCTTCAATAAAAGTCCTTAATTATTTCCTATGTATCTTAAAACACGAGATCTGATTGGTTAGCAACCAGGGTGTAAATTTCCTTACACCCAGCTAAAGCTGGGGTGGGGTGGGTGGGGTTAAATAATGTGACATCACAATGAATAGTTTCTATATCAAATAAACACCATACAACATGATGTCACGATGTATTGAAGCATGTAGTAAATCAATAGTTTAAAATATTAGTGGAATTGGGTTTACAGAGAAATTATTAGGTTATATAGGAAATAAAGATTTGTTATCCAGGTGTAATCAAGGGTGTACAAAGATTTACCTGTTAGCAAATATAACCTAACACTGGGTCGTATTTTGGCTGACTTGCTTCATACCAATTGTTAAGCCTTTGTTTATATGCTAAATTTGACTATTGAATATTCCATCTACTTGATCAATATATAGGGCTGACAGTGGGTGTGTCAACAGGGGATGCTTAATCCTCCTTGGCACGTGATCCCACCTCTGGAATTTCAGGGGGTCTGTGTTTATGCAGTGTTCAAAGATTTGTATTGTTTGTAATTTTTATGAAATAGATCACTGTTCATTATCTTCTCTTTTTCACTCCATATCCATACCCCGCAATCATAACTTTGACCTTTTGACTCCAGAATCAAGAGGAATCATCCTCTCCACTGGAGTAGAGACTGATCTAAAAGCCAATTTGAAAGCAACTAAATCATAGACACAAATTTAATTTCTGATGTACATATACCCTAAATTAAATTAGTGACTATTGTCTGCCCCAAAATAAATACAGGGACCCAAGACTTTATCTTTAAAATAATTAAAAATTCTTTTAAACAATGTATAAGTACTGCACAACAAATGTAAATCACATAACACATAAATATGCATAGACATTTAACACATACAACAGGGTGATTGGGCTATGTGTATGTTTAAGGTGTGCAATAGAACATCTCCTATGACACGATACAATATTTTACAAGATGGTGTGTATATATCGAATAAATTATGTGATATTTTGTTTAGTATATTACTATATAGGTCTCTGGGTATTGCTAAGAGACCCCTAACATAGAATGAAATGCAAGTTGGGACCCATGCATGTAGTTTTCTCGTTTATTTAATTAGACGCATGCAATTTCTTCACTTTAAGAGCATATTTTATGATTAAACAAATGTCATTTCAAACTCTACCAGATATACTGTAATACAGTGCCCTACACTCAGTCAGTGTCAGTATGTGTACAGGGTGATAAAAAATACATTATCAATATTGCCATTTATCATGTTTATTTACCAATAATTTCAAAACTTTTTAATTCTGTATTGCATATTTATGAAAAAATCATGACGATACTATCATCAATTACTTGCAATAGGATTAATCAATAAAATAAATGAATTGTGCATTTCCGTCCTCATCACCATCTTTCTTCAGCATCGACTGATACGAGGTTCGACATGGCAATTATAAATAAATATTTATCTTTTTATTCTGTCTTGAAATGCTGTACAGCTGGTCTGAAAAAATGTGATGGATTACCAGAGGAAATAAGATCTGATTTATTAGAATTAAATGTTCTGTATTTAAAAAAAAACGGGTTGGCAATTTACGAAACAATAGTGGGTCGGGTTATTTAGCCAACCAAAATGGCAGTACAGGCTCCGACCGAGGACTGAGGAAGCTTAGGATGACTAATAAGAATGGTTGCGGCGAGTGTTTTGTTGTGGAAGTATTAGAAGAATGTGTAAGAAACATACGGTTAGTCGCCTAAGTTCAAATCTATCAAATTCAAAGTTTTAATAAAAAGATATCTACAATTCTACACTTGGACGATACACTGATACACAGTCATTTAGCTGGTACAATCACTAGTGGGGTTAAAAAATAATTTAATTCATAGTTTAACTTGCTGTAGTCCTTGTAACAACAGTAAAGCAGTGTAGATACCAAACACCAAAACCAAAAAATATAAAACTAATTTTTTGTTTGCACTGCAATAGACTGATGTCATCTGGAAGAGGAAGTAGTTGTAGATAGAATTTTCTAATCATTAAAATGATTAATGAGCTTCAGACCCGGTTTAAGAGAGGTGTGGTGAGGGCTTGTCTGGAGACGCAGTTAGATTATTTAACTAATTTAAAAGTAGTTCGTGCCCCAAAGCTATTAAAGAGTTTTAAGACCGCGTTACAACATCCTGATGACTAAATGCACCCTCCTCCATCACATTAAAACCCAAGAGGATTCTTATAAATTTATACTGGTACATAAACAAATTGATTGAAGAAATGCCCATGTAGAAAACGCATGGTTTTTTCTCGTCAATGTCGTAGCATTATACTGGTGGATGAAACTTGACATATTAGTATTGATAGAATACTTCCAATTACAATTACTTGTTTTTAATTTTAACCTAAAATCATTAAAGTCATGACTGTATTTGTAGACCCCTATAGTTTTGGGTATTTCGAATCCTGTGTGTACATGAGAGCAGATGAATAAAATACACATGCTGCACACTTGTTATATTAATTTTACATGTCAGATGTACACTCAATTTTTAGACAGGACCAAACTTTTACTAGTCAGTGTCGATCAGACATGCCTTATAAATGTTAAACCCTGTGTCCGAATGCATAAATATTTTTTACTTGTCTGATTCTGAACAGATTTAAAGAAATATTTTGAACTTAATGAAGGCTGAATTAGCTATAAAAATAACTGACTTATTTAGATTTGTGTTATCATGAAGATAGAAATATTAATTGCGCTCCTCCTCTCATTAGCAATATTTATCGAGGTATAACTGAGTGTTAAAGATGGAAAATTTATGCTATGCTATAAGTACATATTTTAACTTCAGTATCTTGAATCGTAGGATATCACAAAGTTTTTTCTAGGACCCATTAGGTTCGATGTTTATATTCTACTCTAATAAAAATGCTTAAAAATGAGTTTTTATACTACTGGTATCATTTACATTTTTGAAAAACATTTTTTATTAATTTTTTTTATCATGTTTTTATCACAAATATAGTTTCACTATATATACCATGAAGAATTCACATCACATCAAAAACAGTTAATAACAAATGCTAGAAACAAATACAACAAAACAGAAACAGTTGTAACACCCTCTTGATCATCCTCGTGTGCTTTTATGCTACATATTATAATAGCTCGGGTTCGAGATTTAATGCTGTTGGTTGCTAAGGCAAATATAAACAAAAAATGGGGCAGAGTTCCTGGGCTCGACATTGTATGCTCATCCACTTGTCCAGTACATGTACCAGTAAAATTTTTCATGAACAAGTGATAATTACTGACCACTTGTCCGATTTGACAAGGGATATTTTTCTAGGAAGAATTTTTTTTTTAGCTGAGCATGAAAACTTAAAGAATTAAAATTTGTTGTCAACTTTTTATCGGAGGTTCAAAATGAAAACATGCAATGCATGCGGTTTGTAAATAGTTAAATGTTGAATGATCCTGCTCGTAATGATGATGGCCCTGGTTGTCAAACTTGATCAGGAACAATGTTACTATAAACTTGTCTGAAATATCTGATGTTTTTCAGGCATTTGTCACAATTTTAATTTTAATATTTAAAGTACCAGGAAGTTGACTACTTAGAACTACAGTAACTTTGAAACGTGTACTTTTACTGAAGGAAATTTGGGTTTTTATTATCTGGCAGGAGAGCTTTAGCAAAAGACAATTTAGGCTACAAAGGATAAGCAAAAGAAGGCAAAGAAAAATTTGAAGTCATATAGTCAGCTATTTCTTGTTACTATTTTTCTTTCATACATGTAATTATATAACATGATTTACATCTACTTTAGGATAGGATGATACAGTTTAGTAATTTGCAATAGATGTGTCCACTCAAAATCTCAAAAACAGACTCAATGAATGTATTATAGACTATTGTAATGTACAATATTTTTTCAAATTGTTAAATAGGTCTTTTATGAAATATTTTTATACAAGTAAAAGTTATGTTCAGACAAGTAAATTTCACAATCACTTACTTCAAGGGTAACATACCAGAATATTTTCCCCAATTGTGTCACCCAATGTCGAATGCATATCTTGTCATTTAATTATTCAGTTTTATTTATTTCAATATATTAATATCCAAAAACATTATTGCTTATGTCATTGCTAGTCATGAGGACCCCCTGGAGATAAGCCTATTATGGCAATAGATGGGACTGAAAAAAAAAAACCTTTGAGAAACAGATAATTGAGGTTTCAAGAATAGAGGGTAAAGTTCATAAACTCACTGAACTTGAGCACTTAGACATATCCATGGTATTTGAGAAAGAGTTTTAAAATACATAAGTAAAACTGTCATTAACAATAAATTTTATTTCTCCATTTTTTATTTTAGCACCTGAGCCAAAGGCTTAAGAGAGGTTTTCTGATCAAAATTTGTCTGTTGTCTGTCACTGTTGTTGTTGGAGGCGGCGACATAAACTTTTCACATTTTCATCTTTTTCTCCAGAACCACTTTGCCAATATTAACCAAACTTGCCACAGAGCATCCTTGGGTAAAGGAAATTTAAGTTTGTTCATATGAAGGGCTACACCCTCTTTCAAGGGGAAATAATTAAGAATTGTTGTAAATTTAATGGCATCTTTAAAAACATTTCTTCTCAAGAATCAGTGGACCAGAAAATGAAAATTCTCTGAAAGCTTCATTACTTAGTGTACATTCAGGTTTGTTTAAATCATGACCCCCCCCCCCCCCCCAGGGTAGGGTGGGGCCACAATGGACAATCAAATTTTTACATATGAATAAATATACATCATCATGTGTAGTAAAAAAAAAAGTAGAACAGCAAGGCCATAGTGACTTGGGTGAGCATTGTTGCCCATGGCCACTTGTTCTTTTACAGGCATTTTTTACTTTGACAAATTGCACTTTAATAATATAACTATAAGCTTAAATTGGATAATATTTTATTAACCATAACATTGTTAATCAAACTTTGGTGAAACTGTGAAATTAACTTGTCAAATGACTAGAATTTTCTTACTGAATCTAGATATGGATATACAGTTCTACAACATTTAAAATTTTACTGTGGCTCAGCACACATAAACAAAAATTTTTGGAGATCAATAACATTTTGTCGAAATCAAAGACAAAACCAAATGCTTGGGTATTTATTTACAAAGTTTGATTTGTTAATTTTTTACCATATGAATAATTTACCCTTTCTTTCCAGTAGACCCTTGTTATGCCATGCTTAGCTTAGAGCCAGGAATAGCAAATCAAAATGAACTTAGTCAGTTATTGTTCTTTGTAGAAAGAGACAATTTCTTTTCAGGTTTTCTTTTTCGGTTTCTCATTTTAGGCCTACAGTATTTATTTTTTACTCAAATATTAGGAATATTATACTTGTGGGCAATCAATGAATTTAAGGAATACTCCTTTTTTAGGTGCTCATGATGCAACTTCCTGGATGGTGTGTAAATTGTTTATCAGCATGTGAAATCCACATGATTGAAGGTATCTTACCTATCAATAATATCAATTTTCTCTATTAAAAGCTGCATAAGGAATTATTTTATTTCTGGTCTCAAATTTTTGTCCAAGCATCATTCATTTTTTCTTCATCTTTTATCTAGTGAGGGTCATATTAATTGATTAATAATTTAATCAAGGCTTTATAGTAAAATATAGTGAATTATTTTCTTGTGTATGACCTTTAAAGGGGCATAGACTCAGATTTGAAGTTAATATTTTCTAAAATTTTCGACTAGATCATGACATGTGTGGCTATAGTATTTCACAGGGAAATATCATTAAAAAAACTTATTTTACCTGGAAATTATTGAAACTACGAATTTAGGGACGCATTTGATTGACACATCCTTGCACTTTCACAAAGTAAAACTTCATCCTTGATACTTAAAAAAAGTTGAAATTTTGTTGTGTTTTAGTAAAAAAAATTAAAGATAAAATCCAGAAAATTCACAGTTGAAATGTGAGAAAGCAAAACCAACTCATCAGTATTGTCAGTCCGTGCTCAGTGATGTGTGCAGAGTTTAACAAATTGAACACACCCAATGGAACGTAAACTGTTTTGTGTTCAATTTGTTAAACTCTTCACACATCACTGAGCACGGACTGACAATACTGGTTAGTTGGTTTTGCTTTCTCTGATTTCTACTCTTAATTTTCTGGATTATATTTTTTTATATTTTTTCATTAATATGTATCAAAAAACCTATTTTTCTTAAGTATTAAGGATGAAGTTTACTTGTGAAAGTGCAAGGATGTGTCAATCAAACGCATCCCGAATTTAATAGTTTCAATAATTTACAGATAAAATAAGTTTTTTATTATATTTCCGTGTGAAATGCTATAGCCACATATATGTCATGATATAATACAGACAATTTGAGAAAATATTTCAAAATGTCGAATCAGTGTCTATGTCCCTTTAAGAGTAACAGGTAACTTCACTTTTGAAAATAATTTTTCTTATTTCAGGAGAAGTCTTCCTTGTTAAAGATCAGCAACGGCAGATAAACAATTCATGATGCAATCTGCTCACTAAAAAGATTACACCAATACATCCCATGACATGTATTTCTACCTGTAACCTATGTAACCTTTGTCATGCTCTTCAGAGAGGTAAGAAAACAAAATAATTATGAAAAAAAATTTTGGTAAAAGTGACACTTAGAGATCACTTTACATGGTGTCTGTCTGTCTGTCATACCCTAGATCCTGAGAACTGTAAGAGGAATGGATTTGATACTTTGCACTTGCATTGCTTGGCACTTTGGCTTTTGTAAAATACCATATACAGTCAAACTCGTTTACATTGAAATTTAAGGGACCTTGAGATTTATTTCAAAGTAAACGAATTTCATTATATCTGTGTGCTATGAATTACATAAAAAATGTAGATACAGTTGAACTTCATTATCTGGAACACTGATATCTTGAATACCATGGATATGTCAAAGTGATTTGCTGTACCAACCACTTATTCTTTAAGTATTTTACCCTCGATATCTCGAATCCTCAGATATCTCGAAGTTTTTTCTTGGTCCCTTCAAGTTAGAGGTACCGAGGCTTGACTGTACAGTAAAAAAAATATACAATTGCGAATTCATATTTTTTACATAACATTACATGCAGTGTTTCAGAAATGTACTTATTTCTATTTTTCAAAAAAGTCCTAAATTTTTTTTACTGTTTTATTTTTTTTTTTTTTTTGGATCTGTGTTAGAAAACTATCAAGACTATTTATACACGAAAAAAGTTCGTCCTGAACATTGCCGCATAGATGCAATGATTTGTCAGGTTCGAATCTATAGAACAGCCCTGTCTCATCAGCATTGAAAACATATGCTTCATATACTTCAATTCAAGAAGTTTATTTTCCATTTACTTAATTACAGTGGATTTATTTACTCCGGCACTTTCTCCACTAGGGCTGTGTCAATATATTGATTAATCAATACATATCGATATTCAGGAATTTATCGTATCGACAAACTAACTTCCAATACGTATTGGGCAGACTGTTTTTCTTATAATTCTGTGAAAAAGTTGGGAATTTCAGTCACCAAAGATAATTTTTAACTGTTTTTAATTAAAACTGGTCAATAATAAAATAAACATTAAGGAGATAGCACATCTTAATTAACTATTGCAAAATTCATATACAACTATATTTTAACATATTAGTTTTTCAGTCATTAAAAGTTTGAATTTGAAGTGTTCTTTGTAAAGACAGTGAGACATATGAACTTCCAATTTGGTATTAAAACACCCAGTTTTTATCAAATTTATGCATTAAATGATTTACAAGACCTTTTTGCTAGACTTATTTTAGAATCCAATATATTGCATATTGCTTTATAAAATATCTTATCGAAATATTTTGGTCAATACACAGCCCTATTCTCCACACACCAATGTACACATGACACCCCTGCATATTTTATCCATGTCGGTCTTAATGCCATAGTTAGAAAATAAAAATGGCGACTAATATGTTACGGTGAGAAATGCTCAATGATTATTGTTTTATCTATACAACACATAATTAAATTTGTACAGGTCCACCAACATCAAATCACCAGTGAAAAATTAACACGTGCTAGACTTTATATATAGTCAGTCACCTGAGTCCACGCGTCGCAATCGGCAACTTCAATGTACCCGTTATCAAAACTGCTATAAGCTTTGTGTTCAGCGGACCCCAAAATCACTTCAAATTAACAGAGTTTTTCAAGTTAACCGATTTCAATCTAAACGAGTATTTATTGCAAAGAAACTGTACCAGCATTTTAGGAGAAACCCAGTTCATTTCAAACAAACCGATTTTTCAAACAAAGAGAGTTCAATGCAAGTGAGTTCGTTACATTACAATTCAGTTGACCTTGACCTTTGATTGTATAAAATCACTCTGGCGGTTGATTGAATTATTATTATTTTTTTCTTTGTTTTTTGATTTTGAGAGGCAGGATTTTGATAATTAGCATTTATATCACATGTTACTGTATATGAGCTCATGACACTGTACTTTGAAACTGTATGCAATATAACCACACAAACTGAAATTTAAATACAATGAAAAGACATCAGGATGGGTATACCAAAAGTATCGTTGTAGAGTGAATAGAGACTGAAATCTCTTTTGGAAGATATCTGGGATAAAGATATATTTATTAAAAATAATTATTTTAATTATTATACCCCCATTCCGAAGGAGAGGGGGGTATACTGTTTTACCCTTGTGTGTCTGTCTGTGTGTCTGTCTGTCTGTCCGTAACAAATATTTCGTCACAGTTTTCTCAGCAACTACTCATCGCAGATGCTTGAAATTTTAGTACACACTTTATTGAGGTATGCCATATGGTGGGATTCATTTTCATACGAATCTGATTTCAACTTCCTGTTTATCCGTGCATCTGTCTGTACCATACATAACAAATTTTGGTTGCAGTTTTCTCAGCAACTACTGATTGCAGATGCTTGAAATTTTAGCACATTCTTTGTTTAGGCATGCCATATAGTGGGATTTATATTTGTACGAATCCAATGTCAACTTCCTGTTTATCCGTGCATCTGTCCGTACCATACATAACAAATTTTGGTCGCAGTTTTCTCAGCAACTACGGATTGCAGATGCTTGAAATTTTAGCACACTCTTTGTTTAGGCATGTCATATGTTGGGATTCATTTTTGTACAAATCCGATGTCAACTTCCTGTTTATCCGTGTGTCTGTCCGTACCATACATAACAAATTTTGGTCGCAATTTTCTCAGCAACTACTGATTGCAGATGCTTGAAATTTTAGCACACTCTTTGTTTAGGCATGTCATATGTTGGGATTCATTTTTGTACAAATCGGATGTCAACTTCCTGTTTATCCGTGTGTCTGTCCGTACCATACATAACAAATTTTGGTCGCAATTTTCTCAGCAACTACTGATTGCAGATGCTTGAAATTTTAGCACACTCTTTGTTTAGGCATGTCATATGTTGAGATTCATTTTTGTACAAATCCGATGTCAACTTCCTGTTTATCCGTGTGTCTGTCCGTACCATACATAACAAATTTTGGTCGCAATTTTCTCAGCAACTACTGATTGCAGATGCTTGAAATTTTAGCACATTCTTTGTTTAGGCATGTCATATTTTGGAATTCATTTTTGTACAAATCCGATGTCAACTTTTTGTTCATCCTTGAGTCTGTCCATAACTGAACTTGTGTATATTCACATCAGAATGTATATTCACATCAAAGCGGGGGTATTACTAGTGAACATTGGCTCACAGACTTCTTGTTAATTTCAATTTTATAATTCACTTTAGCTTTGAAGGGTGGAGAATCATATATCTATTGTCAGATTTTATATGATAAATGCTATTCTGTATGGGTCTTACTATTTGTGGATTTTTTTTCTTTGCTATATAAGGGCTATTTTGAAATTAAACATTTACTTTTACTCCATAAAAGAAAGACATTAATTCATGAAAATTTGTCAACATTTTAACAAGAACAAATAAAACAGCAATGCAAAATTTCTAATTGATAGGATAATTAGACATGTCCCATTGGAATTATAAACTTGGATATGTCTATTGACCTAAAGCATCATTGCTTCTTCATTTTCATCTCATGCCAGCCATAGGTCTTTACCATGTTGAGACAGTCTGGAAGCTTTAATGCTTCTTTCTCTGTCATCACAGAAACTACTCAACTGATTGAGTTGAAACCTTTTTAGGGTTAACAGGCATGTTGTGTAGATGTGCAGAAGGAAGGTCATTTTACCCACACTTACATGCACATGCGTGCGCTTGCAAGGAGTGAAATGACTGAAGCAATTGAAACACCATTAACCTTCCTGTTTTTTTATGATATGCTTTGAACTGCATTGTATAAACTTATATTAGTAGTGTAGACAAGAAGAGGTGGTTGAATTAGCAAGAAAGCATGTGCATGCATGTGTGCTTTGCTCTGTTTGACTGACACAAAAAATATCAATAACCTTTTTTTTTTTGATGAAATGCTTTGAAATTTAAAACATAGTCATACACAAAAAGGCTCTCCATTTTGATATAATATATGAGATATTGTGAAAACACGCTCATGCAAGTGTGCTGCAATTTGATTGGCTTAAACTTTAAATGGCTGTTACAGTAGTAACTTTCTTAATTTTTAACAAAACTGGATGGAATTTGCAATATACCGTATAATGGGTATTTTCTGCGGTTGGAAATTTTTGCGATTTAACCCCTAAAAGGTAGCAAATTAATTTCTGCGTTTTCAATTTCTGCGGTTGCATTATACCGCAAAAATTTATTTACGTATGATCACTAAACTTTATGAATTATCAGAATGCTGCCATGTTTACGTTTTATAAATTCATTAAGACATATTGATCAAAGGTGCATGAGAACTGGTATCGACCTAAGCTTAATTAAACTACTATCTTTTAGTTAGTCTTTGTAAAGATATGTCGAGTCCCAATTGAAATGAATTAATGCAGTATCATTTCACCCAAACAACAATAAATATCTTTATTCTAACAGAGGTTTTATGCGATCTATTAAAATATTTAGTTATATATATATAATGATAATAAATGAATTTAAGCCATATTCTAAAATACACCTATAGTTAATTGGCATCAAAATTAATTTGGTGTTTATATTTTAAGCTAAAACAAACGGTTGCATAATCTAGTACCCTAAAGTCACAAGTGCCATGTGCATTGAAGCGTAACTAATCCTGTCAATTGTCTGCATTGGGTGAAATTCACGAGACAATCAAGCCACATTGTGTATACAAGCAGTAATTATTGTCTCAAGATAAATACAGGATTGAAAAACGTGTTAAAAAAAGAAAAAAAGAAAAGCTACCATGTGTTATTTGCAGCTATCGGAGTTTGGACTAATAATTGGCAAATAGGTACAAGAAAAGATTGTATTAGTTTTGTATAAACTTATTTGATATTATTTACAGGAAGGTTTTGATTCAATATGTTTTGGACAAATCCTGGCATCTAAAATTTTCGAATTTCGATGACACTCGAATTTTGTCGCTAACGAGGACGTGTCCACTCATGTGTCTGCGGACGCATCGTTTTTAAAAACCTTGCGTTCCAAATAATTTTGCTGCGTCCAGTACGCAGGTTCTTGCGTTAATGACAGACATACGCACCACTTATCACAATTGCATGCATAAAATATCTGAATATATATTGAAAAATATTTTGCGATTGTAATTTTTGCGGATTTGTCCTATCCGCAAAATTCCGCAAAAATTGGACAACGGCAGAAAATACCCGTTATACGGTAGATAGGTGTAATGGGTTCCTACATTGTGCTACTATGAAAATTGAATGCAAGAACGTGGATTCTGATTTGCTAATACTTATATGGCTGTATCTCTCATAGTTTTCAATGAAAATCTTTACATTTCTTACATAGCTATTTATTGTGAGTCTCTTCACGAGGAAGGAATATGAAATATTTAGAAAATATGGGCATGTGCATGCGCTAGAGGTGAAACGATACAGCAATACATCGATCGTATTGATCGCAAGGGCTGACAATACGCGTATCGCCATGTATGTATTGTGATACAGTAGAAGATAATTTTCTTTGTTTTGTTTGTAACTTCTGCATTCAACCTAACAAATTTTAATGTTTTAAAATGGCTGAAAAAAGGTAGCAAAGAAAAAATACAATATCAAGACTATAAATCCCCCTTTTATTAACTTTGATAAGGGTTATCAAGATATTCTTTGTATATTTCTATAACTGTGGAGTTAGCAAAGAATTATATGTTAAGATAAAGCTTAATTCAATTGGTGACAGCTGTATCATGGTACATGTTGTATATCACATGACCGTATCATTGTTAGGTAGTTTGCGATATACTCAGGCCTAGCATGCGCTGAAATCCAATTGGCTAATGTAATACTCAAAGAACTAAACCAGTGTTGTTTTTCGAATAAATACTACTGAAAATAAAGTATAGATTTATTAAACAAAAGAATTGCATAATTAAATGAAGCCTGTAATGAATGGGGCCCATAAGAGAATGGGGAAGTGTTTGGGGAACATCTGAAACAGTTCTCGTTACAGTTAGCACTAGTTGTTATTGTTTTAGCAGATCTTTTAGTCTGGAAAAGAGTTCTCCAAAGAGCTACGTAAAATTCTATAGGTATGCTTGCTGTGTCGCGTTGACGTCAAAATCTATTTTATTGATGTAATCAGATATCTATACCTAGCTTAGATTTTTTTATGATCTCCGTATTTCTGATTGAAATTCTAAGAAGCCTGCACAAAATGAATTGAAATGAAATTTACTAATTTCTATTTACCCATTAATATACCATTGAAAAGAAGAAATAAAATATTTGTAAAATATTTGTTGCTTTTATTAATTCTTAGTGTTTATCAAACATATATGCCATTTTTCACCAAAAGGCATTACTTGGAAAGAAGAATAAACACTATGTACTAATAATCTCTTAACAGCCCTCATAATGTTTGTATCAAATAATATTTGACCACCCTTAGATTTTCTTTTAGTCTTAAATAATGATGCTGTTCATCAGGCGACACATGTGTTCCTTGGAACACTCTTTTAATTTTAGCTAGCAAGATTATTTGGACTTAAAAGTCAAGTTAATAATCTTCTAACAAACATTTTCTTCTGTCATGTTTAATTCATAGTCACTAGGCAACACTGAAATTTCCACTCATTGCTTTTCAGTCATCGACAGGAAAAGGAATTACTGGTAAGTTGACAGGACTTTCCACACTGTTTCTGGTAGCAGCTTATGATTGAATTGATGGTAGAAGACGTGGCCCACTTAATCAAAGGTAAATCTTATGGAATAGTGCTAATAGTACTGATATTTTTTTTACTCTGTTTTGCATTGAAGCTTTAGGTCAAAGGCAAATTTTCTTTGTGTGGATTCTTTTATTCTTCTCAGAAATGTGTGGCTGCTAATTGAGCCATAGCTGTCTGTTTTCTTTGAGAATCAAAGAATTGCAGCAGATCTTTTAGGTTTTCAATGAAATTTCCTTGTTTTTCAGACAATCTGTATAGAGTGGCACCTTAACCACCACTGGTGAAATAGATGACTAGTGGATGGTCATCACTTTGCAGCTCACTTTCACTTTCTGCAGCCCATCTCTTCTCATCCACAATCATTGTCTTTGGAGGAATGGTGACAGTGCAGTCCTCATGGCTGGGCAGGTAACTTCCTTTCCTTTATTTCTCAGCTTTCACCTTTCTTACAAAATTTATTTCCATAGAACACTGCTACAATTTTCTTCCTCTAAGAACACAGTATATGTCACTTGGGTAGCAGCTTAGAATTGGGTTTTCCCAATGGCACTGAAGGTGGCAATTTTGTATTGAGCATCTCTTTCCACTCTGATACGTGTATCAGGAGTCCCCATTTTTCATTTAGATCCTGAATGTTCTGTCTTATATTCATCATGCTGGTCTTCTACCCCCACAATAAAGGTTGGGGGAATATATAAGAATCACCTTGTCAGTCTATCGGTGCCAACTTGTTGGTCATTGGAAGCTCAAACTTGGTACAAAGAATGTTTATGACCTGTTGGTGTGTCAAGATCTTGACCCAAGGTCATTCAGGCTAGTTCAACAGGGTTTGACACTAAGGCATGTTTGACCCAGTCTAGTAAATGAGTGGTCCAGTCGTGTAAAAGACCAAGTGGACGTATTGATAAAATAACTGTTGAACCCCCATTTCAGTCCTTCAAATAAATAATCTAAAAACTTTTAAAGAAAGGACAAGGTATGGTAACGGCCGAATCTGGCCCCTTGTTTGATGTAAAAATCAGAACACAGTTAAAATTGTGATAGTTTGCAGGTAAGAATTAAAAATAACGCTTGTTTTAAAACCAGCACTAATTTTGATTCAAAGCTTACACAGAGGCCACAAGAGGGTGTAGAAGTAGGTTATTTTCCAGAATTTCCTCAATTCTGGTTGCATTTTGTCAAATTTGCAGGGGTTGAAATATATGGTAGCCCGATGCCCAGGGCTAGTCAATTTAAGACTCGGGCTAGCTAATTCAGATGTAATGATAGTCCATTGGACTAGCAGAATGGGGAAAAAATCTCAACATTTTACTTTCACTTTTCTATGTCGAGTGGTTTCATTAGACTGAGAACTACATTGTAGTTTAATTTGTTTCTGTCACCACAACCTTTAAAACTTTTACTTGTTATGTTTTCATTTCGCATGAAAAAGTTGTTGGGCTAGTTAGTTTGAGGTTTGGGCTAGTAATTTTTACTGGTCAATAGCCCCTGGGCTAGTGGGTTTTCCAGGAAAATTTAAACCCCTGATTTGAGATACTTTTCACTTTGGGAAATATAGAGCACAAGGCTGCCTATCTGAGATTTTTATACATAAGATGCATCTGATACTATTGTATGAAATATATAAATTTGGTAGATAGGCAAGCTTGTGCTCTATGTTTTCTGAACCAAAATGTGCTGTAAAACCAATGAAAATTTGCATAAAATGAGAAAATTCGGAAACTGACATTTTTCCTGAACTTCCTGTGGCCTCTGTGTATCCCATAACTTAGAAACAATACTCAATTTATGGCAGGGGTGACAACAGGTTTTTAACTGAAAAACTGTTGCAACATTCTAAAAGACACCCCAAACCAGGGGCCAAAAAGGGATCTTAGCCTATCTTATCCTTTCTTATATGTTAGATTGTAAACAGTCATTGCTCTGTAAAGAAAAAATCCCCACATGACCCAATCACTATTTTTAGCCACAGCTGTTATTAACAAGTCGAGGGCAAAACTACTTTTGTTCAGTACAATATTTCAATATGATGTAAATAGTTATGTTTAGTATAGTTTTAAACTAATTTATTAATATTAACGATAATTATTTTATGAACGTTTGTTGAATCTTTAAGGCTTATATTGCTCAAATGTCCTGATGAACCCGACTTGATTGGCGGGATCCCATCAAACAGTCTGTCAAAATTCAAGGTCACTGACAGAAATGATATAAACTTCTTGTCCAGGATATCAGTTTGCAATGAAGAATCATTGAAGCTCATTCTTGGTACAAAGATTATTGAAGACCTGAGAGTGTGTCATGACCTTGGCCCATGGCAATTCTGGCAAGTTCAAGGTCACTGGCTTAAAAGGTATAAAACACTTGTGTAGGCTGTAACTTTGTAATGGAGAATCATTGGAAGCTCTTACTTGCTACAAAGATTGTTTATGACCTGGAAGTTTGTCTTGACCTTGACCAAGGTCATTCTGGCAAGTTCAAGGTCACTGGCAGATAAGAGATAACATACTTGTCCAGTCAATGACTTTGTAACTGAGCTTTAATTTGCTACAAAATTTTTTTTTTGACCTGAGGGTCATTGTGACAAGTTCAAGGTCTCTGGCAGAAAAAATGTAAGTCTATTATTTTGTATTAATGGAGAAAAATTGGATGTCCATATTTCACTCTTAGATTAATCATGTCCAAAGATCTGTCCTTTTTTTACCAAAGTCATTTTGGTAAGTTCAAGGTCACATTTACACATTCTAAATAAAAGAATTGCAGCAGGGTTATAACCTTATTATTTTGTTAGCTCACTCACAGCACCTTTAGCTGACATAAGTGATGTAATAATTTTTCTCACTTTGTTTCAGGTCTACTGCATGTTGACAGCTGATACTTGTTCTCTATTTACTCCAAGAGGCCTACTACACATTGTACCTCAGTTATGACTGTACTCGTGCTGGCTTCTATGATGTTAATTTCCTTTACCTGCACTGTGTTAAACTTGGTCAATTCTGTTACTGTCGAACACCAACAGATGAAAACTAGTAGACTAATTGTTCACAGAACAATTAGAGGTCTTTCCACCTTCTTTAGGTTTCTTTAATTTATATATTTTTCTCTCTAAAGTTAATTTTTATCCAAAAAGAATCCATAAAGGCTTGAAAGATAAAAAAATGAAAATTTTAAAAATTTTGAAATGACCTTGACCTTTAACCTTTTCCGCATATTGAAGGTCAAAGGTCATGAATCACATTGCAATTGGTCTCATGCTTCCACGACTTTTAGTTTTAAAGTTACAAGGTTTAATAGTAAGCGCAAAGACGTTAAAGGGTGATAACTCATATAAGGGGTCATCGGATCCTTTTGCACTGAATAGATTGAAGTTGTGTCTAAAGACCCTGAAGACATTAGTGAAGGTTTGATGTCTCTACAATCTACGGTTTCAGAGGAGTAGCGATAACAATGTTTTTCGCACAAGGGGCAATAACTTTCAAAGGGGTTAAGCTTAGGGGACAAGAATGATATCTTTGAAATAGATTTAAGAGTACATATTAATGATGCAAAGATATTTAGGATATGTTGAAAGACAAAAGATCTATAAAAAGAGCTTAATTTCTCATATTTTGAATGACCTTGACCTTTGACCTTTGCATATATTTGAAGGTCAAAGGTCAATGAATCTTATGCAGTTGGTCCCATCTCTCTACAACTTATCGTTTTGAAAATTTTTAATTATTCGTAAGTTTCATAAACTTTCAGGGGCAATAACTCATAAAAGGGGTTGACGAATACTTTCGCAATGAAAAGACTGAAGAGTCCCCTCAATTAGTCGAAGACATTGGTGAAGGTTCCGTTCCTCTACGGTTTATGGTTTCGAAGGAGTAGCGATAACAAGCTATTCTTGCGAAAGGGGCAATAACTTCGTAGGAGGTCATAGGTCAAACACGGGGGGTCGATTTTCGGAATAACTTTTGATATCCAGTATCATGACCTATAAAGTTTTTCGATAAGTCTTGCAGTTTCAAAAGTCCGGGAAGAAAAATAATAATAATAATAATAATAATAATAACTAGTAGACTAATTGTTCTCGAACAATTAGAGGTCTTTCCACCTTCTTTAAATTTCATATATTCTTCATATTTAACTCTCTAAAGTTAATTTTTATGCAATAAGAATCCATAAATGGCTTGAAAGATAGAAAATATGAAAATTTTAAAAATTTTGAAATGACCTTGACCTTTGACCTTGAAAATTTTCAAGGTCAAAGGTCAGGGGTCACATTGCACTTGACCCCATGCTTCTATGACTTTTAGTTTTAAAGTTATAAGGTTAAATAGTAAGCACAAAGACGTTAAAGGGCGATAACTCATATAAGGGGTCATCGGATACTTTCGCACTGAATAGATTGAAGTTGTGTCTAAAGACCCTGAAGACGTTAGTGAAGGTTTTGTGTCTCTACGGTTTATGGTTTCGGAGGAGTAGCGATAACAAGGTTTTCAGTAAAAGGGGCAATAACTTTTAAAGGGGTCAATCTTAGGGGACAAGTATGAAATCTTTGAAATAGTTTTAAGAGGACATATTAATGATGTAAAGATATTTAGGATATGTTGAAAGACAAAAGAGATATAAAAAGAGCTTAATTTCTCATATTTTGAATGACCTTGACCTTTGACCTTTGCATATATTTTAAGGTCAAAGGTCAATGAATCTTATGCAGTTGGTCCCATGTCTCTACGACTTAACGTTTTGAAAATTTTTAATTATTCGTAAGTTTCATAAACTTTCAGGGGCAATAACTCATAAAAGGGGTTGACGAATACTTTCGCAATGAAAAGATTGAAGAGTCCCCTCAATTAGTCGAAGACATTGGTGAAGGTTCCGTACCTCTATGGTTTACGGTTTCAAAGGAGTAGCGATAACAAGCTATTCTTGCGAAAGGGGCAATAACTTTGTAAGAGGTCATAGGTCAAACATGGGGGGTCGTTTTTCGGAATAACTTTTGATATCCAGTATTATGAACTATAAAGTTTTTTGATAAGTCTTG